CCATACCATCTTAACTAAGGACAGAAGCAACAAAATGCAGGCATCTTACTAATATCTCCAATTTTTCTCCTCTTTGGTTTGTAACATCTTGCCCAATGAAGAAGCCAGTGGAGCATCAAAAGCTTGCAACAAGTATATTGTGCATTTTGGTTCATAAGAAAAAAAATACCCCTCAATAATAATCAGGCTAAAATGTTAAATACCATGGAAATACTGAGGTGACAATTATCTTAATGTAAACTTGGTATTTACATTTAAAATTCAAACATAATCACATCATTTTGTTTTTGTTTTTGAATTACAGTATGTCTTGTGGAATGAAATGTGTAGCCATAGGAAGAAATTACAGCTTTCATACTAAAGAGGAATTAATCCACCATATGACATCATCACGGCTGGGGGACCAGATGTTGTAGTGCTGACAGATACAGCATAATCCAGGAACTGCTCTGCAAAGGTCACACAGAGAATCATCCCCTACAAAAGATAGGAAGAAGAATCTCTTGGTTGTAGCTATCATCTGAGCATTCTATATCTGTTTTCTCAGTTTTTAAATATAGTGGCTCAGATGGTGTGAATGTTCAACATAACAAATCTTTGTGATCTTAATTCTGTATGTTTTTTTTTTAAAAAAAAGACATTGAATTACTTGTCAGATTGTGCTAATTTAAAATTTAAAGGATTTAAAGGATCCCCCCACAAAGTGTGTGTGTGTGGGGGGGGGGTTCTTCCACATCTTTAGACTAAAGATTTTACATGTATATTGTTGTTGTTGTTGTTATCATCTCACCTCTCCCCATGGGTTGAGTCAGGGAACAACAAAAATTAACAAACAACATCAAATAAAAAGATATCGGTTTATTTATTATTTAAAGCCAACACCAGAAACAACAACGAGACCATTTGCAGGGACATTCTCATATATATTCTTCAAAGAATATCCAGAATTTCCAGAGCTCTGAAAGTATTCAGTGGTTAAAAAAAAAAAAAGGATGGGTAATATTCATTATCTGCATGGAATGAATAGGACTGATGATAATATTAGTTAAACCCTTTCTGAACAAATCTTGCCAAGAAAACGAGTTAGGGTTGCCATAAGTCAGAAAGGACTTGAAGGTGCGCACACAAAAAGTATGAACTGGGTCACCAGAAAATCACAAAGGGTGCAATTTTCCATTTTAAGACTATTTGGGGCCTTC